AGGGGTTAAGAAGTTGAATGTAAGAAGCAGGTGTGAGCATTCAATAGGTCAGATCCTTAACACCACCATACAAGTCTATAATTTCTGGGCACAGTACATAGCATGCATGAATTTTGTTTCAATGTTTTCCATAGTGATAGTCTAGAAAGTCACACAACCATATCCTACCCAGACTTCCACTCCTAGTGGCAGAAGTATTTGCCAATGATTGAAAGGTCATGCAAAACAGATGTGAGGGCAGCTGGATTTTCCAGCTATGCTTCAGTGGACTTTGCAGAGGTGCCTGCAATTGCTAAATAGTAGAGAGATTCATTTCAATGGAATAAAATGGAGAATCTTACACAACCTTGTCAGTGTAAATGGACATATGCACAGTTTCTTCCCATGCTCACCTTTTCCCATCTTTCATTCCTCAGACTCACTGCTGGGATCTAAATCCATCACAATGAAAAGGCAACATTACTGAGTGTCAGCCATTCTGACCTGTTTCCTAACATCTTATAACTAGGTATTATGGACTTCCATGTGGGGAGGCAATTTTAATTGCATTTCCTACAGTTTTCTTATTAGTTTAATAATCACATTTAGTGTTACCTACACTTCAAACCAACTTCTCTCATTAGTCCTGTGGTTTTTTGTTATAGGCCCACAGCATATGGGCCCTGAGATGTAGGAAAAACACAAAGGATAGCAAATGGCACATTGCAGAGAGGACTAGCACATCACAAATATCCAGGAAGCACAGATGGTCCAATGCAAACCTCCCAAATATTGACATCTGTGTGCCAGGCAACTGCACTGGTCTGATGGAGTCAGTCTTTGAGCTCTACATGTCCTACGAAGCCAGTGATTCCTAACACAGATCCTTACAAACCGCATGTAGGGGAGCTGGCTCTTGTTAATGACAATGTGGATAGGATACATTTTCCCTATCAGAAAGTCTGTCTCCAATTTGTTTTCAGAAAAGTATTTCTGTGAGTTTTCATTTTTCTCATCTCTAAAATATGGATTAAGAATACTTGAGTATCAGAGTTTCTCCAAATACTGTAACTTTACAGCATACTAATGGACCCTGGTGTAATATACCACACAAATACCAGTTATTATTATAGACACACTGGGTTTGATCCTTTCATGGTTTATTGCAAAGGAGAAATTGTTCATCTCCTTGCTTTCTATTATTGAATGTGAAAATGATTAATTTTCCTATGTGCCAGGGATTGAGGTTCATATAGAATAACCTCTATAAACTGAAATCTCAATTAACATAAGCCTTCGGTTAAGAATGTTTTGCTCATTTTAACTCTAAGAAAAGCATTACAGCAGAAGAAAATGAACTCATTTTTAAAAATCCCGCTGGGTGCTGGTGGCTCATGCCTGTAATCCTAGCTACTCAGGAGGCAGAGATCAGAAGGATCACAGATTGAAGTCTGGGCAAACAGTTTGTGAGACCATCTTGAAAATATCCAACACAAAAAAGGGCTGACAGGGTGGCTCAAGTGGTAGACCGCCTGCCTAGAAAGTGTGGGGCCCTGAGTTCAAATTCCAGTAGTGCCCAAAAGAAAAAAAAAATCCCTTTGCTTATATCCTAGTACTCACTCAACTAATCTCTTAAATCCTCAGAATGACTCAGTTATACTGGATCTTTAAAAAGTAAAGCTTGAAAAACACAATTAGTGCAACATTATGTTTACTTTGAACATTGAAAGTATGTTAACCATTAAGGGATTTTTGACAATAAAGAATGAGTTAGAAGAATCTGACTTTTCCATTTTGGTTTTTTATGGTGCTATTAAACCCAGGGCATTGTACATGCTAGGCAAGTACTCCACCACATCTCCAACCCTTGTCTGACTTCCTAATTCATCAAGAATATGCAGTCACGTTGCGCACAATGGAAGTATCAATTAATTTGAGGATCTGAAGTTTTAGTTTGTATCCAAGTGTGTTAGCTACTAATTTATTGACTTTTAGTTCTAAATTCACTCTCCAATACCTGCTCTGTGATATTGGACTTGGCTCTGTAAGAATTTCTCTTTTATTATGATCACGGTGATAAGCTTTGTCAGCTGAGGAACACAAAAGAAACTGCAGACCCAAGGGGCTTCTCTTCCTGGTTCCAGGTACTGTTTTGCTGTTCTGTAGGATTCATCATGTTGTGTGTGTGTGGAGACATCTGGTGGTGTTCTGTCCAAGCCGTGCATTCTTCAGATTGCTATCCATCGCTGGCCTGGGCCTGGTCACCACCTTGCTGTGGTTCTCTTGCCATGGATACTGTGTATCCCAGGCTTGAGCTTCTGTAGCACCCCACAACTGCCTTGTGCACCCACCTATCAACCTGGCTTGCATGCATTCCAGAAGCCTGTTTCCTTGCGCTTGACAGCTGAGGGAAAGCGCTGGCCTCAATAATCCAGAGAACTTTCCTGTCGTTCAGTGTGCTGAAACCACTTTCTCCAAGACCTGACCCCCGGTCCTTCTCTCAGCCTTACGTTACCCTTTAGAGTAATCTTTATATATTCAGAGTTACTCTGTTATCTTATCATGGCTTAATGATTCTTTATGCTAATCTAAGTTACTGTATGATTTCTGTCTAATTGGACTTAGATTGATCTACCACAAATAACCAAACCCATTTTCCCCCTAGCTCTAATTTGTAGCTCAATTTAATCTGATTCAATTATTAAAGAGCACCAAGAACTTCCTAAGCAAGCTATCATAGACTCACATCTTTTCTGGGGGAAACAGTACTGGGTTGCCTCTTGAACTGCTTGTTAAGCCATTTTTTTTCAAAGTATTTATAACAGAACTAGAAAAACTATTAAGCAGTAGTATCATAACTTCTGTCCTCCAATTCACTAACCAAAGATCAAAATTGTCAGGATTCTCAAATAGGGACGGAGAAAGCTTCTGGCATCACAATGACATAAATGCAGGACTGCACCGAAGCATAATTTTACTTATACAAAAACCAGTATTGCTGTGATGGCACTGGAGTTCCATCTACTTTGCCATTTCCCAAGAGAACAGTAGATGTATTAGTGATACAGTAAACTCAAAGACAAAAGACATACCTGAAGCTTTTATAGCTCACTCACTAAAACAAAGGAACAATAGGATTTCTGAGTAACTTAGAACAGCACCAGCCATGTGTACACAGATGGAAACCAAACCTGGTTTTTGAACTAAATGTGATAGAGCTTGAAATACGATGATGAAAAGCCAATTTGGAACCCAGATAGGAAATTTTGGACAGAAAAGACAGCAACTTGAATCCTTTGAAACAGGGATGCAAAAACAAACAATTAAAAAAAAAAGGAAAAGAAACATGGATGTGTAGGAGACCATGTCAATCAGTTCATGGGCCTAGCACAGAAGTCATTTTCCTTGAGAACTGTATTTGCCGTAATTGAGAAACTGAAAAATTATACTCCGTAAATTCTAAATTGTTTTATTTTTCTTTTTGAGGTCAGTGATCAGTGACTTTTCTGACATGGAAATGTTTTATTCTAAACAACGGCTCCAAGCTTTATTGTGCATGATTACAGTTATAGACAGGAAAAACATTGCTTTCTTGGCAAGCTTTCATTAAGTAGAGCTCTCCCAGGGCTCTACCCTTACTGCCAATCACTGAACTCCCCTCCTCTTCCTCCATCACCATGTTCAAGGTGCACAGGCCATACCTTTCGTATTAATCATTAAAACAATCTTGCTGCCTGCTCAGATAGCTTCTAAATCACAGAATCTATAGTGAAATTCAATAACATACCACAGACAAATGGTATGTTTTATATTCTCGTCATAAAACCAAGTTTGGGAATCAGATGCTTAACACATTAAAAATAACATGCATATCTCCTTGGTCCTGAAAGCATACAGACCATTTTCAGCTTGGCACTTACTGAGTTAAACCTCATTCACACAGCCTACAGCCCTATCAGACTGAGGTTTCTGTTAGGTAGCCATGGGTCCAGCCCCCTTCCTCTGTTAAATTTTAAATACTGCACAGGAACCATTTTCCCTGCGAGGCTCCCACACTTGGGATGAAACCTTCTCTGCGGAATTTTGGCACTCTATTAATTAGTGGCTATGAGTGGGAGCTGCTCTCTCTCAGCAACTCCTATTCTGCCATCAGTCAAGTGTGATTCTGTAATAAATTTCCACTAGGCAAACTATTTCTGGTAATTCTCCCTAATTAACACCAGGCCTGCTAATAATACATCAGTACCTACGTGTTTCTGATATAACCAAGATCTTGTCTGAGAGGACTCAAAAGGGAAACCGCCAACTTAAATTAAGCTTTTGCTGGCAAAAGGATTTTACATGTAGTTCTGTAAGAAAACCTTTGATAATATTATATTCGGGACATTTTGACTAAAAAACACTGAACGACAGGGAGGTGTGCTCTGGTGTGAGCACTGAATGGGAATTTATTGTGAACACACAGTTGAGACTTAAGCCTATAAATCTTGTACTGGATTACTATTTCTTAACGAAGGAATGACAGATCTCTTATTTTGTCAGTGCAGTTTTAATGTGCAATGACGTGATTGATAGAAACCAAACAGCAGCTATTAAAATGTCAGATGTAGACCTGATGCCCTTAAAAGTTTGGCTTCTGGAGTTTAATATACTGTGAGCAAATAGACTTGAATTTCTCTCTTATTCCCAATATACAGCTTGTAACAGAAACATTCCTCTTAGCTTTCTTTATACAGTTGGAAAAACAAATCTTTACTCTAGCTAATAAACAATGAGGAAAAGGTGAGCCTACCTAGGTATGAATCATTAGTCAACAAGATTGGGGTGAGTTACACACGAAGTAACATACTCTGGCTAAGACAAAATGTAGATGATGATTATGATCTATGGTACAAAATAATATTTGATAAGTTATTCCAATAAATAATTCCAGCAACAAACACTTAAAAAAAGAATTTATAACATTTACTTACAAACATTGATTGTATACACTGTATATGCAGGACATAAAAACGGTGAAGGTGACAGTATTTTCAAATGTTCTGTTTCTGAAATATTTTGATGGATAAAGATCATAAAGATTGTCCTATTCTGTGAATATGAACATGACTTTTTTTCTCCATGATAATTTAATGGAAACCACTCACCACCCCAAAAGAAAAAACAGGAGAGCTTGTCTACATCATCGTAGTCATGTATTTATTGAATATGTGCACAATGAAGCATTACTATACTGATTATATTTCTCATGTGATTTTTTAATTAGAAAATATATCCAAAAGCAAAATTGTAGGTATGTACAAACTTAAAAACATAAAGAACCAGAAGACAGAGATTAATAGACATGGCAAATTACACATTTAAGAATCTAAATCCAATACCTTTAGCTGTTTGGGGATGAGGGGACAAACTGAAACTAGGTTATCTTTGTGTAACACTACTCAGTATGTTTTTCCTTCTCTTCAATGGGGATGACTAAACTCTAGTACCACAGACATGTTAATTTAACACCAGATCCACACTTGGGCAAGAGAAAGGAATTATTTTCTACGAGAGTGCGCCAAACATAGTATTCCTTTAAAAAAAAAGGTACATTTTTTGTTGTGGATAATTTTAAACATAATGCTACATTAATATTTTGAAGGTTTAAAAATTGTCTATTTGTTTTAACACTGTGACCAAATATAACCTTAATCAATATGAAATATGTATGTTGTCATAAACATAAGCAAAGGGGATAATTTTTAGATTACTACTTCAGCAGGCAACATTCAGTTCATGTAAGTCTAGAGAAATAAATCTGAATCCATCACTACAATTTTCGAACTGGAAAATGCAGTTAGGGTTTTTTTAAAAAGTCACATACTATGATTTTCATCTGTTTTCTCAAATACAACATTCCAAAATATACATCTACACAGAGTAAAAGTAATGCTCTACAGTGAAAAAGCAGTAATAAAAAATGCTACTGAGACAGAATATTTATAATCACAAAAATAAATACTCAGAGAGCTCACCAGAAGAATAAAGTGCTCTGTCAGTTATTAAAAGATTAATGCTGGTGAATTAAACATGGCAATCCTCACTGGAAAATACAGAGATTCTTCTGGATTATGGTCAGTATATATTTCACAGGATTAACTGTTTTAGGAACACACAGATACAAATCTTTGCCACACAAGAGGCTGAAAAGTACAAAGACAAAAATGATAAATTAGGAAGCTATACTACTCTTTTTTAGGGATTAAAATAGGGAGAAATGCAACATTATGCTCCATGAATAATATGTAGAATGAAAGTTCTAATAAAAATGATATCCTTAAAAAAGATAACTCTATAAGAGATTCAGGTCAAATAAAATTCCTTGAAGAAAATACCCAAATGCCAATGACTTATCAAATACTATCCTGGCATATAATCTATAAAGGCAAAGCTAAACTCACATGAAAACAAAACCACCAATTTATTTTGCATTGCATAAGCCCAAGACTGACTAAAAGCAGGTGACAATGGTGATGGCAAGCCAGCAAGGCACCTGCAGGTGGTTTCAGCAGCAATGAGATCTAATGCACAATTCAGTTTCAGCACCTGATTTCCAAATAATCTTCCTGCCTCCCTACAACACGCAGGGTGAGGAGGTATTGTGGGGTTGCTATTGGAGAAACATTTAGCTTACCACTTTGTGTCACCCCTTCCTATTCTTTTATTCCCAGTTAATTATTATCTGCATATAAATCTGCTAGACCATAAATTAACAGCTTTCAGGACAGAAGCCTTGAGAGTTCTTAGGGAGGTTAAACAAATATTGTAGCCTAAAACCTCCTCTTTAACAAACATGCACACAATGGAAGTGGAGTCCTTAGTGAGTGATGGGGCAGGAAGGACTCGGGCACTCTGTCTGGACTTTACAAGCACTTTGCCCCAAACAGATTTAAATTATAACTCAGTGGGATCATATATTTTCATCCATTTTTGAAACAAAGAGAAAACTGTTAAATGCCGTAACTTGTTTTCTCCCTGGGCAAACATCAACAAGATACCCAGTTAATTAACTGCTTCTGTATCTCCATGGGGTAGCCATATAATTCTTCCCAAATGAGGAAAACAAGTGACAGCCCAATCTGAGTGGTTTACCATGTTTCTCTCCTGTACTACCAAACCTCTGTGAACAAAGTATTTCCAAATTCCATGGTCACATTTGGAAGTGGTTCACTTATTACTGAAAGAAAACTACAACCAAAACCACACACACACACACACACACACACACACACACACACGCAACACTCACTAACTGAACTTTATCTCAATCCCCAAATCAGTTTTAATGTAGAATTAAAAAAAAATTACTCAGCAAAGACAGCTCTCAAGTCTTCAACAGTGGAACAGCTGTAAAAATGATGTAATCAGTTCCTGATCTGAAAAGTGGGAAGGAGTTCTTTTGCTTTTTAGGTACAACACTCCTTCTCATTTACCATTATTTTTAATTATGTTATTTTCTGTTTTTCTCTTTAAAAGAGAGAAAACTAAAGCCCAAAGTTATTTCATTAGCTCTTTATCTCAGTATAAGGAAAGGGAAAAATTGGAATTTAACTAATGTAGGCGATGAAGCATACACAGTGGATAGAAAATAGTCCTATTTTAACAAAAGACAAAATTTTGAGATTTATAAGCTATATAGCAGCTTATTTGAATGATACATTTTGATCAAAAATCTCTTTGGCCTTTCCCAATGAAAGGATCAACTGTAAGATCAAAATAATGTTCACTTTTTTAATAAAATTGATACTTTCTACTGGTAAATTTCTGTTTAAACTCCTATTTACTAAAGATAAACAGTTGTTCTTTAAAAAAAAAAGCAAAACAGTGATTCTCTAATTAATAAAGCATAAGGCATTTTCACTGCCTTTTGTAGATTTTGTTATAGCTACCTAACAAGGAAAGAAAGTATAATTATTTCAGCATAGCGGCTGGAGTTTTTATTCTAAAATTTAATTCTTTGCTAATTTATCGTAAGATGAATTTAATAGTCAACCAGGAAACTGATTTTTATAAAGGTTTGTTTATAGTCAGAAAATACTGGAAAAAGTAGTAGTAAATGTCAAAATGTCTCTTTACTTTATGAAGCCAAATAGTTCCTCATAAGACTTAGTTTTTAATGCTGGAATTTATCCCTTCAGGGCCACTATTATTTTTCAAAACCTTATGTAAATATTAAATCTAAAAATTAACTGATAATTTTAATTCTTTTTTCTTCAAATTTCTTCTTTTCTCCTCAACTTTCAAAAATTCACAGAGTGAGCATGTTTCTTGCAAAGAGGCTTGTCCTTCTTGGAGAAAAATGTCTGACCTTCCAAACTTTCACAACACACCTGAAAAAGAAGTATTATTTAAGAGAATATCATTATATTAATCAAGTATGCAAGAGAAGGGGAAAGCGATTTTCTCTCCAATGGATAATACGACAAAGTATTGTACACGGTTGTGTTAGACACCCTGACATTTCATGATTACTGTGACATTTCATGTAATCTTTGAAAGGCAATGAGGAATGACTTCTGGAATACATTCAAATTTATTTAAATCACTGATCATTACTTTCTTTAATGAAAGAGAAGCACTTAGTTCTAATGAAAAAATTAATACATGGAAGAGATCACATTAAATATAAACAGTGCTTTTTCATGTTTCCTGTTGAGAACTAAAGCATTCAAAAAGAAAACACCACTCAACTAAGTCCAACTTTACCTGCCCCAAATACACAGGCAATGAAGTTCTTTTTAATTCCCCTCTTTAATTTCATTTCTTTAATGGAATCACTAATTCATGACAGAATTAATGGTTTTCTTTAATTCATGAGCTTGCCATAGTGAACGCCCTGGTCACTATCTGGCTGCTGGTGGTTATGAAGACAGTCACCCACACTTAACATCATCTTGTCTTCCCTACTGCCTTTGCCAACTGCAATGCTCATGAGCAGCTCTACCAAAAAGAAAGCAAGTCTGCTAAAAGATGCTGCTGTTTATACACCTCAGGAAGCCTAAGAAATGAATCCAGATAGCTCAAAGGTAAGGTTCTGAGAAATCACTGACTTCGATTAACATTACTTTCTGCCTTCATACAATGGGTATCAAAAACTATTAGATACATTAAATCTATTAAAATGGTCTCTTGGACAGAGCACTTTTAGTGGATATTTACTTTCTAATTTCAAAAGAATATGTGTCTTAGGTTAAAATTAATCTCCCCATCTATTCTAATTATTACAACTTAAGCCAAAAATGTTAAAGTATCAAATGAAACAGATAAGTATTTTATTCCATGTTTATTATAGTCTCAAAAAGAAAAGAATATTCATGGGCTATTGCTAAGGAAGGAAATAAAAGAATCAAACAATGCTGATTTTCAATTATTCTCAGTGCTAATTCAATGACAGATTTTTACAATTGCTTATTTCTATTTAAGATGAGCCTAATGGTCCCCAAAACTACTAAAAATATCCCATAAAATAAGGTTTAAGAAATAAACTCTTACTATTTAAAAAATATATATAGCTTCTCTTTTCTAGACAAAAATGTATTAAAAACAGTATTTTCTTATTATGTACCAAATAATTTCAAAAAGTCATCAAAATTTTAATAGACTTTTTAAAAATCACTATTGCTTTAGGTTTGAAGGCCTGAAAGAAACCTGAGCTGCTATTCCCATGACATTCTTAGGCAAGAGCTGGCCACAGCACACTGCGTTCATTTTGAAATCAAGAGCTTACTTACTGAGCATACAAAGCAAGTGTCATGCCAGGTATAGCCCAGTGCTTCCAGGAACATGTCGCCAGCTTCTATGGGAAATTCACATCCACGGCAAATTGTACCAAAAAGAGCATAATAATCTGTATTAATGGAGAGGAAAGAGACTTAAACATGAAGTTTTAGAATGACAGTTCATAGAAAACAGCAACAAAATTGGTATTAAATGGAAAATTAAAGGTAAAGATACAAGTAATCAGAAAAATTTCAGGAGGTAGCTTAATACTAATTAATATTTGGCTCAAGATATATGCTTACCATAATGTAGGCTCCCATAGTGAACATTATTTACACAATTTAACATTATTGTATTTTTCCATGTTATATATATCTCACTTCTCATTTTATTCATTCATTCATTCATTTATTTATGGTGCTGGAGTTTGAACTCAGGGCTTCGTGCTTACTACTGTACCACTTGAGCCATGCCCCCACCCCTTTTTGCTCTGGTTATTTTTAAGATAGGGTCTAGCTTTTTGCCTGGGCTGGCTTGGCCTGTGATCTTCTTATTTGTCACTTCTCCCCACAGCTGGGATGACAGGTGTATATTACCACACCCAGTTTTTTTCTCTTAAGCAGCTCACAAACTATTTTTGTCCCAACTGGCTTAGAAGTGTGATCTTCCCAATCTCAGCTTCCCATGCAGATCAGGACATTTAAATGCCAAGATATATGAGGAGTTACCAGTAGACTTGACCATTTCAAAGAAATATAAGAGAACTACAAGCAACAATAAGACTAATATAAATTGAGAAGAAATATTTGATGTTGAAAAACTTCATAGGATATCTGACTTGGTAAGAATACAAATAAGTTATAGGAAACTTCTGTCAATAAGAGCCATGACTGAATTTTCAATTGGACTGTATAGCAACAATATTAGCTACATTTTCTTTTGCTGTATTTTCTTTTCAATTTTATGACTTCCTTAGCTAGACAGCACCATTTTCTTGACTCATAATAGTTATAAAATACTAGCATGATCTCCTTTCGAAGAAAGCAGTTTTGACAAGATGTTTTTCTATTACTAAATTAGAATGCCATCAGCATTTCAGTTTTCTTTTAAGCAGCTAATGTCACTACAGTGTTGACTCATGGTTCACCTTCTGGCCTTTAACACTGTCAATTCAACCTGGACTGGCAGGGAAGGAGTCAATAATTTGTGGCTAGAGTCACCTTTCTTAGCAACCTTCATTATTCCTTAGCACCATGTGCTCAACACATATTCACAGTCTTCCCATGTGCCAACACTGTTCAATGCACTGTGGATGAGCAGTGGTGGAGCAGGCAGATATGAGTGCTTTCCTCACGGGACTTATTTCCCATTGGGCGGAGGAGGTCATCATTTATTGAGTTTTAAAGATGAATGATAATAAATGATATCAAATTGTGCTAAGTGCTAATTGTATCATAGTGTTATGATATAAAATAAGTGGCTGGGGTTCACCTTATTACATAGAAAGGTTAGGAAAATCATCTCAGGGGATGGTAATAGTTATGAGGAGACTTGAAGAATGAAGACAAATCACCACAGAAAAACCTGGGGTCAAACATTTCAGTTCGAAGAAACAGTTAAGTACAAAGGCCTTGAGGCAGGAAGAATCTTAGTATGTTCAGAAAGAGCCAAGGGGCCAGGTATGGCTTGAGTCTAAAGATGGAATGCAAGGTGACAGAAGATGAGGCTCCAGCAAGGAGTATAGTTTTTATTCTAGTGGAAGCCATTAACAGGTTTTAAGTACAACCTGGTTTACATTTTTAACATTTACTACTGTTTCCCTGTTGCTATTAACAGAGGGTTGGGGGAAGAAGCTACATAATTTAGTTAGGGATTACAAGGTCCAGATAAAACAGTGAAGAGCAAGTGGGACTTGATGGTGACAGGTGAGATGGAGTAAACACAATACACATGGGAGCAGAGCTGCCAGGATTTACTCATTACACAGGATATAGGAAGAACAGGGAAAGAACAGAATCCAAAGTAGCCCCTAAATTTTTGGATAGCAAGGCCATTCACTGAGATAGGGTCAAGACTATGTTAAAAATTGGTTTGAAAGACTATGGAAAAAGAAAGAACAAAAACAGACCAAGTTAGTTGGAAGCAACATTTAAGTAAATCTTCAATAATATTTTTCCCTTTCTGTAAGTAAGCAAGTTGTTGGGTGACTGATAATATGTCCTCTTAGTATACATTAAAAATATTAAGGTTAGATAGGAATTTATTTTTTTGGCTAGAGAGGGACTATCAGTTAGTCAAGATGTCTTAAAAGCTTCTAAAATAAGTAAACTAACCAACTAACTAAACAAACATAAAAAACAAGTTTCTTTTCAGAAAAATTAAGTAGAATTTATAAATGTAAAATATTCTTGTTGAATTGGGTAGGCAGTTTGTAACCAATTTAAACCATAAAGGTCCAAGGGATATTTAACAATTTCTGGGGCTTCCTGGTGGGCAATCCAGAATAGATACAAGGTTAAAATAAGAGAATATTGGGTGAAGAAAAAAGGGATGACTGACCTTGATCCAGCTTCAGAATAGAAGCCAGCTGCTTTTTGAATTTGACCACTTTGGAATATTCCCTTCTCCTAGCACCACACTTTGAATTTCAAGGTAAAATAACTCAATAGTGGGAATGTAGTGGTAGTGAGTGGGGGTATGATAAAGGAAAAATGCTTCATATTTTGAAATACATATTGTGGCAGCAATATCTTTGTAAAGACAATATGAATAAACAAGCTTTACAGAAGTTATTTACAGGTAGCAGAAAAAGATAGTGTTCAGAATTGAGGTAATAAGACAAATGAAGTAGACTGATCCTTAGAGCCTACTATATTAAAAATAATTTTACCAAGGGAGCAATTCATGCCAGGATTAACCTCCCATTCGGTAATAGTAACAAAAGATTTCAAGCTTATTTTCAAGGCAGTTGCCTTAAAGAGTAAAACAGTAACATATTCTAAATTTGATTATCTCTCATGAAAATCACTAAAGATGTGGCTTTAAGCTACATGTTTTCTTTGGTAGAAGTTATATCCGTAAGTTACTGGGTATTTGAGAACACATCCTCTTAGAATACATTAAATATATTAAGGTTAGATAGGAACTGATTTTTTGACGAGAGACTGTCAGTTAGTCAAGATGTCTTATAAGCATCTAAAACAAGTAAACTAAAATAAAAAAAGTAAACTAGAATATTTTTCCTACAAAGTAATGTTTATATCTACATTCTTATTATAATGAAGTAGATAAAATCTGGACAAAGTCACATAAGAGGTTTTGACAATTTTTTGCTACATATTTGGACTAATGTGAAATGCCTCCAAAATAATTAGGAAAACTAGTTAGCCTAACATTGTTTCTCAATTTTATGGGGATTAATGTTTTACCATTATTCAAAACTCAAGCAACTGCAGGCACAGGTGACTTATACCTGCAATCTAGCTGCTCAGGAGACAGAGATTAGGAGGTTTGCAGTTCCAAGCCAGCCAGGCAAATAGTCAAATAGTTCTCAAGATCCTATCTCAAAAAAACCCCATCATAAAAAAAGGGCTGACAGAGTAGCTCAAGCAGTAACAGTACCTACCTAAGTAAGTGTGAGGCCATGAGTTCAAACCCCAGTGCTGTCAAAAACAAAAACAAAAAACCTCAAGCAACTAATGGCTCATGACCTTACCAGTCTCACAGTAGGGCTCACCATCCTCCAGGTGAAAAACATTATTACGAATGGGTTTCCCACAGGCCACACACACAAAGCAGGAAACATGCCAAGTTTGTTTCAAAGCATTGATGACTTCCTATTACAGAAAGGTAATAGAATTTAAAGAAAGATGACAATAAATACACCAAGAGCTAGCCTAAAGCAGACATACATACTTCATCTTTGCCTTGAGCTTTTCATTAAAGTAGATACTTAAGGAAAGATTCACACATCATTGAAACCTATGCACTATAATATGTGTGCTTTTCACAAACACAAATCAATGAACTTTTAAAAACAGTGATTACTGTTACTAAAACTTTATACATATGGTGAATAAAGGAAGTGTTTCATAAGCGCTTGCTACAATACATTCTTTCTTTCAAAGGGTGTCAGGTAGCATTAACTTAGAAAATTTTCATAGTATTATCTTGAAAATGTCATGGAGGAAGGGAAAGCTTTTAAAAACTTAAACAAATGTATGTCCTGCCGAATTATGGAAGCAATAATCCAATCAGTGTAGCATATGTTTAGCCTTTTGGAATCAGCTGTGACTGGACTATGCACTTACTCTGAGTGTCTAAAATTTGAACTATAAAGCAGACTCTAGTCCACACTGGCTCTCTGGCTAAATATACTAAGTATAAATGAAAGACTTGGTTCTGGGGGAATTGGTTTTATAATGAATTGTTTCTTTGTACTGAGAAAAAGAAATGAACCATTAAAAACTACTTCTGAATAATAGTTAAGATGGGAATAATAGTGTAAGTTGGGAATTTGCTCTTTCCAAGTCCCTGGAATCTTACTGCTTCTGAGACTCTTACTTGAATCCATAGACTACATCTTACAATGAAGTGATATTATAATATATATATTACTAGTTAATTATCTTTCATTGTTTTGTACAAACTGAACCTTCTACTCCTTTATTCCAAACTACAAGTTAATAACAGAGAAATATTTCAGATAGCATATTTATAATTCAAAGTGTCCTCAAAGTTTTAGACCTACCTAAAGATGTACTCAATAATGCATACTCTTCTCTCAATTAATATGAATTAGTTTTCATTATTATATCTTCATGTTGAGAATATTAGTTAGAATTCAGCAAAGCCATTTCCAACTTTTATATGCAAGCACTTTGGCTTCTTCTAAAATCAAATTCCAACTCCTGGTTACCCAAACTAGATATTCCAAAACAGGATACTAATTTATTTGTCATTATTTATCATGTATCTTACTACTAAATCACTCTTTTCCTGCAAAACGGTGTGGTTTTTATTATTTTTCTATTACATGTGTATTCACAAAACTGTAGGTACATTTTTAAACATTGTATGTATTCAAGGAAAATGTATCAATTATAAGCCTCATGTTTTATATACTTCATGAGCTCAGTGTCCTGTGCTTGAACCCCGACAAATGGGGAAACACTGCTCTTAAATAAAAGCTATGGAATTTAAATTAAAACAGTGAAGGTGTCAGTTCTGAGAACTCTGATGTGTGTGGTCTTGTGCGACCTCTTCATTCCTAAGCAAACAGGGTCCTGTTGAGGCAGTACACCCACAGTCAATTACGATTTCCCCACAGTGGCTAGACTTTCACCAGACAAGCCAGCATTCAGTAAGACAAAACCAAAGACAAACTAACCCCATGAGTCTGATATACTTCTACAGAGGTCTATTTTGTTTTGCTTGGCAATAATAAATAGTAATGAAAGTAGAGAGGATTGGTAAAGCAAAAAGAAAAAAAAAGTAAAAATAATAGAAGTGTCTTATAACAAAAAACTATTTTGCTTACTCCAAGGATCTTCCTTTGGCATCTACCACATTCAGGGGCAAAGAATTTCTCATAGCACAGCTCACAATACAGCGCTCCTTTCTCCTCTACAAATCCAATGTAGGCCATGGTATTTTTGCAGTGAGCACAGTTAAATTCTTCTGGGTGCCAAGATTTCCCTAGTGCCACTAGGAAAGGTCCCCTGCCAAAAGAAAAGAGATCAACTTGATTCAATAATGAAAGTTGCAGGGCTAGTGGAATGGGTCAAGTGATAAAGAGCGCCTGCCTAGCCAGTGTGAGGCCCTGAGTTCAAACTCTCATACTGCCATCATAAAGAAGAAAGTTTCTCGGCAGAAAATACTCAAATGCCTGGAGACTGAACAACACACTGCTGCATAACCAGTGGGTCATTAATGAAATAAGGGATGAAATAAAAAGTTCCTAGAATCTAATGAAAATGAAAACATAACCTACCAGAACTTGTGGGATACAGAAAGTTTATTGCTATAAGTGCCTATATTAAAAACACAGAGAGATCTCAAATAAATGAAATAATGTTGCATCTTAAACTCTTTAAAGAAATAAGAACAAGCTATACCCCAAACTAGCATACAATAAATCAACAAAACAGAGACCTCCCCCCGACTCAAAACACCATACAATCAATGAAACAGAAAGTTGGTTCTTAGGAAAGATAATTAAGATTGATAAACCCTTAGCAAGTCTAACTAAAATGAGGAGGGAAAAGACCCAAATTAATAAAATTATAAATGAAAATGGGGATATTACCACAAATACCAACGAAATCCAAAGGATCATTAAGGTGTACTCTAAAAACCTACATTTAAATAAATTGGAAAATCCAGAAGAAATGGATAAATTTCTAGACACATTTGACCAGCCAAAACTGAACAAAGAAGGTATAAATTATCTAAATGTATTTATAACAACAATGAAATTGAAGCAGCAATACAGTCTCCCAAAAGAGAAAAGATCAGAATCTGATGGATTCACTGCTGAATTCTGCAAGATCTTTAAAGAAGAACTAATACCAGCACTCCTCAAATATTTCCATGAAATAGAAAGGGAAGGAATACTACTACACTCATTCTATGAAGACAGTATTACATTCATCCCAAAACTGGACAGGGTCACAACAAAAAAAAGAGAATTAACCATAAGAAGGGGATGAAGGCAGAAAGGAAAAAAATAGTGGGGATGAACTAATTTGGGTTATAACACATATATACATGGAAATGTCACAATGAAACATCCTGTATAACTATCTTAAACAAAAACGCCTTTTTTTTTCTTACAAAAAAGGGAACAGGGAGGTGAATATGGTAGAAATAATATGTACACATGCATATAAATGGAAATATGAGACCTGTTGAAACTTCCAGGAGTGGAGGAGGAAGAAATAAAGGAGAATGATGGATGGGGTGAATTCAACTATGATGTATGTGAAAAACTGAGAATTACAGACCAATTTCTTAATAAAAATAGATGCAAAAATTCTCAATTTAAAATACTGGCAATCCGAATTCCAGTCAATGCAAATCAAAACCACATTAAGATTCTAACTCCTGTCAGGATGGCTATCATCAAGAACATAATCAACAAATGCTGGTAAGGACGTGGGGAAAAAGGAACCCTCATACACTGTTGATGAAAAACAGTATGGAGGGTGCCTTAAAAAACTAAAAACAGAGTTACCCCATGATCTAGCAATAGCACTCTTAGGAACATACTTGAAGGAATGTAAGTCAGGATACAATAAAGACCCTTGAACACCCATGTTTATTGCAGCATTATTCATGGTGGCTAAGCTTTGGAAACAGTTCAGATGCCCTTCAACTGATGGATGGATTAAGAAAGTGTGATATATATATGCAATGGAATTTTACTCATAAAGAAGAATGAAATTTTGTTGTTCATAGGTAAATGGATGGAATTGGAGAAATCATTTTAAGTGAAGTTAGCCAAGTTCAGAAAGACAAGGTCTTGTGTTTTCTCTCATATGTGGAAGATAAGATCCAATACAAACATAAGCATTATCATCTAAACATAGAAATATATACAGAACATGTTTCCAAAAGTGGGACTATTAGAGGAGACTAAGGGAGGAGGAAAAGAAGAAAATAGAGAGTGAATAATAATGAAATACATCACATACGTGTAGGAACAAGACACAAAGAAACACACGATGAACTGTTGAACATACAAGGTAGGGAAAAGGGTGAGGAAGAGTAGTGGAGGGGTTAGACTACTTGAGTACAATATAATTATGGGTAAAATACCAAGGCAAAATCCCAGTGAAGAATGAACAGACACTTAAGGAATGAAAGACAAGAACGTAAAACAGGTCATGATAACAGGGTGACACCAGTGTAGGGGAGGGTAAATGAAGAAGGTAAAGGGGAGAGGGTTAATATGGCTGATGTACTTCCTATACATTTATGAATATGGAACACTGAAACGTGATGAAGTCACTGTGAAGGAAATGGGGTCAGAGGGAGAATAATAGAGGGAATGAACCAAATTGGGGTATGACATATACACATATGAATGTCACAATGAAACCCCCTGGATAACTATCATATACAAAAAAAATGTTCAGGAAAAAGAATGAAAGTTTCTTAAGTTAGCCTGGACAGGACATCTTTAATGCAATATCCAAATACTTCCTTAATTTTCCTTTCTTTAATAAGTGTGCTATGCATTTACAAAGGGACTGTATATTTATGTGAAGAGAAAAACATAGAAGAATAGAGCACTTAAGGGATTTCTTCAAGAAAGGCCACCTTCCCCACCCCATTTTGCTATCTTTAGGGGACTTAGTGATATGTATTACTGAGCTACAATGAATTAATCTGCCTATATAAGGGTTAGGATTGAGTATGAAGATGTTAACTGGGAAAAATGAAGTAACCAAAGCAGCAACATGTGTTTTAAGCAGAGAAGAAAGTCTGACATTTCTAGAAAATAAAGAAAAGAAAAATCCGAATTTGGTAATGTCAGTCTTTTTTTAAGTAATTATTGTAATTATAGTGATAATTATGGCCTGTGAAAAGAAAACGGTCAATTTCTCTTCCCCACACATTGTGTCATATATGTACTTCTCAACTTTATTAAATATATCATATTTTCACCCTCTAAAATAGACTACAGAATTTATAAACTGTGTTGTATTATGGATTATTTGAAGCCACTTGGAAAGGTTCTATTTATTTAGTTAGTTTTAATTAAAAAATATTCATTATATGGGGGGAATTCATAGTGACAGTTCCAATTAGGCTTATATTGTATATTGGTTACATCACCCCCATCCCCTTTCCCCCTCAATCTCCTCCCTGACCCACTTAAAGCAATTTTAAGAGGTTTCTTAGTTGTTTCGTATAGGTATATGAAGTCCATCAACCATATACCCTCAACTTAATCTCCTTCCTTCACCCTCCCCCCCTCCCACTAGTGCCCCCCAAACACACACTGTATCTATTTTACAGTCCTGTCTTTCATTATTAATATTTAAGTTGATGTTCAAGTGGGGTTCTCTATGTATCCCTGCTGTGGATATACCTTATTTTGGTCTGTTCAACTCCTTCTATTACTCTCCCTTACCCCTTTACCTCCCAGTCCCCCCTTTCCACCAGCTTTCAATACACAACCCTACATCCTCTACTGGAAAGGTTTCTTTTAATTCAAGTATGACTGATTTTAAAAAAAAATTAACTATATTGTGATAAGAACATTTAACATGAGATCAACTCTCAAAAGATTAAGTATGTAGCACAATACTATTGACCACAGGCACAATGTTGTACAGTAATTTCTCTAAAAATTACTTACACAATTGAAGTTTTACATTCATTATTTAGCACTTTTCCCCTTCAGTCCAAACAGGACTGATTTTTAATGCACATTCATATCAAGGTAACAAAAGTTTGTAAAGAGATTTTTTTCCATTAAATATTATGTAGCCATGAACTGATAAGATGGGCTGGGTTTGCTTGACAGGAATCCATTATGAAGCTTTATCTATCATGGAGCCTGCAGAGATGATGTAGCCTCTGCAACACACTTTTTGGTAGCTACATCACACTAATTTTTAGTCACAGAGTGGCTTTACCTCCAAGGCACTTTTACACTTATCTAATTTGTCCATGCAACATTCCTGTGAGACAGACCAGGGCAGTTATTAGGAACTCAGTTTAATAGATGGAGTTGACTGAGATACAGAATGTTCAAAAGATATGAAGAATATAAAATCACAGACGAAACAAGGCTGGAAGCTCAACTTCTGATTTCTAGTACATTACTCCAGACAATTGACAACTCTGCCTTTGATCTTACTACTGTCAACCAACATCACAGAGTGACCACAAGGTAAATGTTATAAACTGTTACAAAGTCACAGTGTTTAAAAACCTTTCATAATAACAAACCTTGCGATTCAGTAATTATTTAAAATTGGTGAATTCTTTCCAAAGAGATTAATGTTTACTCAGAACCAGCCCTCAATTCTGTAGGAATTAGGAAAGTAGAAAGGCTTCTGATGAATGACTAGCACTTTTTTCTGTAAGGTGTAAGAGGGTGTTTTCTAGCCCCCCTTTTGGTTAACTTCTTTCTTATTTTCTTATTAATAATATGATGCTATTTTGTACAAACCAGTACATGTGACTCTCTTACATATGAGACAAGTAACTATTTTTTTAAGACTTGAGGGTACACAGTTTTGTTATGACTAAGAAGGAATGCCTTTGTCAACTAATTCTGCCTTAAAAAGACTGCAATTACCTATTATAAACAAATACATTATCTTCAGTAGGTTGTCCCTGTATTTTTCAATGGTTTTTAAGTAGTCTTAGTGAACAAGTTCCTTCATTTAGTTTCCTCAGTGTATACTTGGCAAGTAGTTTATTTTCAAAGATAAATTAGGAAATCACACCACTGAAAGCTGGTAGGTAATCTGGTTATACCTATAAAAATCTTCCAGGTTAAACTTATTGTGACGATAACACAGGGTATTTTAGGTCTTTGGGGTTTTATGTTACAATTTTTATGGATATTAAAATAAATTCAAGGGACTGGAGAAGGGAGGCGGTGGGCGAAGCGGCGCTGCCTGTGGAGATCCGCGGAGGCCGTGGCTGCCGCCCCGCTGCCGTGCACTGGGGGATGGGAGGAATGGCGACTCACTGTAAT